AAAAATTGTTTCTGATAGTAGTAAATGTATTAGGACATCCGAAGGGGGTAGGGGGGTTAACTTCCAATTTCCTCTGTGGGGGTGGTATGGATGTTTTCTGGAATGACCCATTATGGCAGTGATTTTGCATGTTTTATATATTTAACAAGGCAATTTGCTTTGAAATATTTAGGCATGCACTTGCTGTTATTCATTTTAACAAAAATTTAAATCGGAGCAACAGAATGGAGAATGGCGTTGAACAACTTCATGTTGTGTACCCAAAATTCAAGAATGGAGAGGCTGTGGTTAGGAATGTAAAGGTGCAGCAAAATTTTGGTATGTATATCACATTCTCTTCACACTCCAACTGTCCAACACTTTTTACTGAGTAGAAAGATCTATATTTGTACAAGTCAGTGGTGCACTAGCTTATTGACCATCTATTTGGCACTCCTATAATAATTACATTGTTATATTATTGCCTTTCTTGAAGATTATGTCGATGAAATATATGAGACAATGATTGATGCAATCTTGAACAAAAAATTAAAGAAGGCAATTAAAGAATTAAAAGATTTAACACCACCCCCAATGAACAAAATGCTTGACCAGCAGCCACATACCGAGGCCATCAAGAAGAAGAAAAGAAGGGAAAGCATGCCCATTGTTGATGTGCCACCAACAAATCCTGGTAGGTTGGTTTATTTGCTCTAGTAGCCTTATATTCAATGCTAAGTTAATTAACGGTATATTTACATGCTGCGATTTATCATACACATTTATCATACATGTATGATTTGTATGACTGCATGAAATTACTGCTGACGCCATCATTCCTCGACATGTAAACATACATTAATTCATTATTATTGTTTTTCACACATTTTAGTGCCTGCTGTTGTGGTTTCAAATCCTGGTGACAGTACAAGAAGCAAGCCAAAATGCAAAGCATGCAAGAGACCAATGAAAGGCCACAAAAAGTTTAAAGATTGCCCCAAGAACCAAAATAAATAAGTGCAGTGTGCAATAGGCAATTCCAGCTTTTAGTTTATGCGTGCAGGGGGGTGGGGGGAAGTAAGGTATCATATTGCTGATTATGCTGAAAAAATAAAAATGGTTACCATGTAAACATGGAGTGATAGCTTATACTTGTAAATATTGAAATATTTTGGTTGTTTCGGTAGTTTTTATTGAAATTATTTAGCATTATCAGCAATATGATACCTTACTTTCCCATCACCCCTGCCCACATAAACTAAAAGCTGGAATTGCCTATATTGTTTATATAAAATAGATTATTATCCGAGTGTTTTTCAGTTTTTGTAAAAAATAAATCAAAGTATGTTACTATGTGCTATAAAGTGCTATATATTTACAGTACGTTTAGTCCTCTTCCTCCAGATCTTCATATCCTTTGAAGTCGTCTTCCTTTTCATTGAAGGATGTGCGGATAGCATGGTAAGCACAAGCTGGCAATGGTATTCGCTTGTCTTTTAAACGGCCATGAACAAGTCGTGTGAATTGTCTGTATGCCACCACATGAAGAAACCTAAAAACACAGAGCCATATGGTTATATATTTACTTTTTAATAGTACAAAGGTTGCAGTAAGGAATAGAGATAAAAATTATCTCAGATTACAATCTAAATTATATATCATGTTTTATATTTTAATACATAAGTGGAAACTGACCTATCCTTTGAATCAACTTGTCGATATTTCTGTCCAGTACGTGTTTTAAAATTATCCGAAGCGAGTTCCAGAGACCATCTGTTGAGACAAATTGCGTCGAATCCAGGGTGATTTGTGATGCACATTTGTTGTGTGTTCATGGCGTCGTCATCAGAAGACTCGGAAACATTTTTGTTTACAATAGACAATGCAGCGACACAGTTTGGTAATTCAGTGCAACAGCGACATTCCTTTGCCTCTACTAAATTTTCGGTATTGCAGTTACCACAATTGCACCTAGAAAAGGTATACAGTGTACTTTAGTTGTGGTCTTTTGAAAAATCCAATGTGAATATGGCGGCCACACAATATTTACAAATAGAAAACTGGGTTTTCTCCGCTTAATCGAAGACTTAATTCTTCTATTTCCCGCGTATGTTGTTCTTGTCTTTGCATATATTCTTCGACCCACGAATCGTCAGCTAAAGGCTCATCAGCGTATGCTAAAACGTCCTCATCATCTCGTAGTTCTTCCTCGACGGCATACGAAGGCTCACTTTCATATCCATCATTGGACATCGTTTCGCATGTTTCATCCTCAATTTCGTATTCAGGGCAACCGTAGGAGCCCTCCTCAGGTGTATTAACGCCTGGGTCCAATTACATCAATAAAATTAAATAAAATTAAATAAAAGAAAAATCATTTAAATATTCTTATTGCACTTGAGTGGATGTTTTATAAGTTAATGTTGTTAGTACAACTTTTAAATTTTTTTTTAGAGATGCCAACTTCTGAACCGGAAGACATGTGACTTGATATGATGCAATATATACAGATAATAATACAAATGTGCTCTGCCGGGTAGGATTAACGTTCTCCTGCAGCAATCTGACAACACAAGTAGCGAGATATAAACTTGTTTTAATATGCCCTGTGTTGGAAAGTTGGAATTATATTACTAGTCGTGACAATAAATAGCAAAGAAACTTGCTTGCGCCGTGATTCATTGAATTACGTCGATTTAAAACAATTTGCGAAGAGCATATACAACAATACAAGACTAAACAGCAAAGTTGAACATATCATGTCATTATATCACTCATTAGAATTACCAATCGACTAAAAAAAATGCCCTGGCGAAGGGGTTGAAAATCAACAATTTGAGGCGAAATATTTTTATTTGTATCGCCATTTTTGATGCTTGAGCCGAAGTACTTGCCTCAGCGGAATACCCAATGTCATGGCAACTACCGACGCGCAAAATGGCGATAAAAACAATCATGGCAGTTCGATATGAAATATTTCCCCTTTCAATCCAATTTCGGCGATTATTGAGTTCTAGAAAGTTACAAGTTTAATTTTATGAGACACTTATAACCAATTTGGATTATATTATTCAGTTCTAGACATAAGTAAAGTATAATACACGGTGAGATACACGCTTGTAAACATGCTACCAAATTACATTAGCTTTATAGTACCAAACTGCATTTTAGTGTTAGCAACTCATATAATTTTAATATCTTATACTTTTTAGACAAAATTAACGTAATATTACACTGTCAACCTTGATCTGCGTTTAGTTTCATGAGGTAATATCCTGTTAGTATAATGCGCAAGATCAAAATCTTGGCGCCAGATTCAAATTTCTCTTCGATATTGAGAGTGCGGTAGCAAATGCGCTAACTATAAATGATTTCATTCGCGAAAGTTTTGTACTTTATAATCATGGTTATATGTCTCATTCACCCGCACACTTGCGGATTTGCTAAAACAGCAGCATTGGCAGATCACAAGAGCGGTTACTACTAAAGTTAAACGCAGTGAGAACGAAACACCAAAGAGCCATCACACGCGCGTTGTACAGGAGATTTACAATCGGTTTTCATCTATGTTCAGTAGTACTGGAAGCAGATTTTCAGTCGATTTCAAGTCTTTTAACCGAAAATTGCCAGAACTTCGTAAGAAATTTAGTACTTGGAACTCCCGTAAAGCGCAAGAACGTGAGCAATATTTAGAAGCATTTTCAACAGATACCTGGGATAAACTGTCACTACAAGTGAAACACGAACATAGCTTGATGAACTGTCGAGGTTGCTTTCATAAATATTCGGCAGTCCAGTCTTTCTTCGCTGTAGCTGCCAAGCAATTTAAGTCTTGTTTAAAGGATAACCCAACGGTTGTTGCTCAAGAAATCTCGTCCAATATACACGCAAAGCCAGTAAAGTGCACTCGTCGAGAATATAAACATGGTGCCCAAGAAATATACGACAGACTGAATCCAGTTTTTGAAAAAACCTACAATGTTTCCTTGGAGAAGGCATTCGCAACGCTGGACCAATTCAAAATAGAAACTAAAACGACCAAAGCTGACAAAAAAAGAGAAAGGAGAAATTATTTAAAGAAAGCAAAAGAAAATTTAGAACAACACTGGATGAATACATCAGTAATGAGGTACATCATAATCATGTTAATTAGTGCACACAAACATTACAACACTATGTAAGTGACTAATATTATGTGGGACCCATATATTGCACCAGTCATTTCAAAACCACAGACCCCCCCCCCCCACCTTGGGGCTATTCACTTCCTACCAATGAAAATTAGGAGTTGATTGTCCCTGGTAATCTGGGCATGCCCAGGTGGGAGGGCGGGATTCAAGTGACTGGCACATGTACTTTTATTTCCTATTTTCAATTCATGGGCCAACCATGCAGATTAACAGCTCAAATTCAGGCATTCGGGCTGATCTAGTAGCTAGGTAGTGATTCTGACACTAGCTGTTTTTAACCATGGGTCTAAGAATTAAGATCTAGCAGACCAGTGCAATAAATCAGACAGCATAATGTGATTACATGACAGATTGTACTATTAAAATGTACTCGTCTGGTGTACTATTTTAATAAAATAGTAAACACAAAATTATTTCCCAGGTGTTATGGTAACCGTCAATCACTGGCAGCAACACAACGATCGCGCCTTGCCATGGCCTTCGAAAGCAAAGAGACAGCAAAACAAAGATCGGCATCAACTGGTTCCAAAAAAAGAAGTCCAGTTGGAAAATTGTCCAATGTAACTTGGGACAAGGAGAGAATGAAGGAAGAAGTTGAAAGCTACCCAGATGATACTAAGGTCAACTGGTCAGATATGGCTCGAAGGTACTCCATAAGAAATACCAAGGGAGAAATTGCAAAAAAATGGTGGACAGGTGGCAGAAGAATGGCTTAAATCAGTTGGAGTCAATGTATCCAGATTTAAAAGGCCATGTGAGCAGACTGGTGAGAGAATAAGAAGAAAAAAGCTGAGGGTGCAGGAGGAGAGATAACAGTTGCAACTCCCCAAACCATTAGCAGTGTCAAAGAGGAAATGAAGAAGAAGGTCATGTCAGGGGAATATACAGTTGGACAGCATATTGCACCTCGAAAGGTTAGTTACTTCAGGCTGTAATTATCATTAGCCCATTGAGCTGCAATGCACCCCAATGCACCCTACTTATTACAACAATACCGATGGTAGATGGTGGATTTATGAAATTTACCATCCGTATCGTATCGTGGTATTGGACCATGTTCGCTTAATGGGTTAATAATACTGTACTAAATGTTATGTACAGTAATGAACATTTAACTTAAACATTAAACACTATTAATAGTGCTCAGTATATTTAACTAATGTTGCTTGTTTTAATTCACAATTATTTTAGTATAAAAAAATGGTGATAAACAACTCTGGGGAGATTATCAAAACAGAATTTCTTGTGGAAGGTCGAAAACAACCACTTATTGAAATCAGAGAGAGAACACTGAGAAGTCAAGAACAATACATGCGACATACTTCAGATGAAGATTTTCAAAACATGCCTTTGGAAAGTGTAATCACCAGCCTAAAAGAGATCAATGAATACCATGATGGAGGAAATGAAGATGAAATGAGGGCCCGGCTTAAGAAATTTGAAAGGACACGGCACATCAAAATGTGGCATGATCTCTCAACTGTTGCCAATCATAGTCACCTGGTATTCATGGTATCATGTCTGTATGACCCAGCAATACATTATACAAATGAGGAGTATCTTAAGATGACCAACATCAAAGAAGATGTCCAAGCTAGAGTGGAATCGCCAGAGGTGTATATAGTTGCCAGGTCAGGAAGTTCAGATGCCGAACAATTGGCCTATGTAGACACACGACGAGAATGCCTGGAAGACATGGGAAGTAAATTGACAACAAACTCTGGCACTGATGTCACAGATAAAATGAGATTCTTTCATGGCGATAGTCCAGCACGTGAACTTGAATGTGGACAGCAGAAAGGTGGTAACTACTACTGTTCCGGATGTGGTGCGTATGCACAACAAGTTTATGAGTTAGACTACTGTTTTCGCTGTCGATGGATGTCATTGTCGGATCGCCAACAGTTGATGCTAAATGGGCCCTATGGTCGAAAAAATTCTTTGGCAAAAGCTTACAAGCCCCTGCAGAAGTTGAAAAAACAGGAACTGATAGCAGAATTGAATTCAAGGGGGATTTTTGAAGGTGAGACAAAGTCAGAACTTGAAAAGCTTCTGCAAGATGAAATGCATGGTGTCCAGCGGGTCCCTGTCTTGCTTTACAATACACCTACCACTTCACTGGAATCGATTAACTGTGAGAACTATGAGATACTTTCCTTTGAACCTCTACACGACATTGGCAAACACATAGAAAATGTCCTGACAGAACTCCCAGCCCACCTGCCAGCAGAAGAAGCCAAAGACGTAGAAGAAGTCATCAAACTTTCAATGGAAGGAAAAGATACCAAGCGGACTTTTGATTACCGGCGTGCTATAGTCATTCTTGCACAACATTCCGCCAAGATATCATCTCACCGTATCCGACAACTCCTGACCTCTTTGGTAGAAATTCAGAGGCTTGCTTACAGCTCAGAGAACGAAAGAACCCCCAAATCAGTCCTGCGACTCCACAATATGACTTGGTATCATGGGATTTTATGCCAGGAAGTATTTGGTTTTACGCTGAAGGAAATGACAACCCGAAAGCTGTATGGCAATTATTTCCATGACATAACATCCCATGCAGGCATGCAGCTTCGCTTAATCAGTGGAAGATCCACCAATGTTGAAGAGCAAGAAAGAGTGTTTAACACAATTACTAACATCACCAAGGCAACATCTTCTTTTCACCCCAGTCACATCATTGGTAACATCTTTGTCAGACTGCAGGCTGAGAAACAGATGGCAGCTTTTCAGAGTTCGTGTATCTCCAAGCAAGAAGCAACTGTTTCTAAGCTTGCATCTTCACTTCCACCATATGGAAATACAATTATTCCACAGGAGATCATAGAGAAGCACACCCGATCTTGGCAAGCACACCTCGAGAGAGTAAGTGATTTTCTGTTGACTGGAAAGGGAAGCTGGTGGATGGAGCACGAGAATGGTGACATCGAATTTTACGATGGCGAGCAGCCCCCAGATAATCGTTCTGAAGGTCCTTCACTTCATCACTTTCGATCAAGTAATTTCAAAAGCGAAGAGAAATACCTTGAAGAATGTTGGGAGAAATGTTTACGGTTGGGTGTGACACTACCTATAAAAGTGTTAAGAATTGAAGATGAGCATGGAAACATGAATGTGGTACAGCATTCATCTGTGAACAGATTAGAAATGTAAAGTGATTATAACCTTGAGCCAGAACAACACAATCCTGAATTCATGGACAGTACAATAGCAGAACATGAAATACAAGCATCTGTTGCTACAAAAACAACAGAAGAGAACATTCTAACATTTGAATTGGTCCCTGATAATGTATCAGAATTACCACTGGATGCACTTGATGACAATGTCTGCAATGATGAAAAAAATCAACAAGAGAATGTTGTTTCTGTTCCAATAGATTATGTGCCTCGACAAGACACATCAGTAATCACAAACGATAATCAACCAGACCAGACTACAGACATGGATAGGAATGGTTCGTGCATCACAAAGATTGGGAGGTTTCTAGAATTTGTTTTGGGAAGAACGGCAGAGGTTGTTCGGTTTGACAATGCCAGGCAACGCCACAAACAGTCACCAAATGACACAGACTATGCCAAAGATCACATGAAGCAAGTGGCAATAATGGAAATAAAGGTATCTAAACAACAGCGGCATTATAAAGCTCAGCTCAGTCAATGGGAGAGAGATTTTTTTATCCAGAATAACTGCAAAGTTGCTACTCAAGATGACATTGCCTCATGTCAAGATGCAAAGCTTCTTGTCAGGTTTATTTATTAAGCAATGCAAATAGTAGCCGTGCATAATTTCTTGACAAAGGGACTTTGCTCGAAACGTTGAAGAAAATGTTTTGTTTCTTAGTTGGATAACCTTAATAATAGAGTATTATAAAATGCACAGTTACTATTTAGCAGTATTAATAGCCTATAGCCATAGCAACGATCACTAACAAACCACTACTAACCAGGGCTTTAATTGCTCTAGCTGTCCTGCTTTATGTAAATATAGGAATAATTGAGGCCAATTTGTGTAAATAAAATGTAAAAACAGGAGAACTGGCGATCAATATAGACATTTTATTCTTTTATAACATTATTAAATTTAGCTGGGGTGAGTTATCTTAGCTGTGAAAATATATAATAATTGTAAATACTTAAACTCAACTATAAAGGATTCTTGGATCGATTTATACAGTATTCTTTATTCACAGAATATGACGACTTTTGTAAGTAATATATAGTGTATTCACAACATCCAAACCAAACTTGAATTAATATATCCATCGAAGCAAATAGGAACGGCTTTTAAATCTGTTTCAAAACTCTCAAATCTCAAGTACCCGACGCTTCCCGATCCGTTGCCAAGGATAACGCGAAAAAAAACTGGAAACGAATATCTTCTTATATGGGCAAGCTCTCCTAATAAGGCAGGCTATTAAAAGCGCGAATATTCGCAGTATTTCCCGCGTTGGTTACTAGAGCACATTTATAAACAGAACACTCGTTCACTTTGTTTGTTTAAAACAATTAGAATGAGGCATACGAAAGAAGAAATTAGGCAAATGCGCAATGCCAGAAAGAAGAGAAGGCGGCAACAGAAATCAGAAATAAAGCACGCAAAGATAGTTGAAGACGCGGTCCGTGATGTTCGTGCGGAAGCTGATCAATGCAAGAGCCAAGCTTTGAAGTACAACGAGCTTTGCAAAAAAAGTCTGAAAGCCAATAATCAACTGAAACGACTATTTAACGATAAAACGAATAAGAAGGTATATTGTATATGTGCCACACATCTTCAAGTATAATATTGATATATTCAAATATATTTATTTAATATATTCAGGGCCGTACGCACGATTTTTTCCACCAGGGGGGCAGTAAGGCCTATATGACAAATAAGCTATATGCCCAAGTCCCAAATACCCAAAGAATAATTAATAATGTCATTCTAAAAATCGTAAATATAGTTTTCTCTGGGGAGGGGGCAGTTGCCCCCCCTGCTGTGTAGGCCCTGATTATATTAAATAAATAAATAAGTATTAAATGTCAGGGGGGTTGCTAACCTCTTTAATGTTCGAGTCTCAATAGACTTTTAGGGACAGTTTATATCTTTAATTTGCACATCCAAGGAGTCTGACATGCATGTTCTGATTTACAGATAACTAAGCTATATTTTTATCAGAATTACCATAGAGGGAGCATCCTCATTCCCAAGGCTTCTAAGTGGCTGCCTGCATTGCCATAAGCCCTGAGACAAGCCGAACCGGAAGTGTGAATTTATTGGTCACTAGAAACCAATGCCAGTATGGATGAGCAAACACCAGGATCTCTGGTGTTCCTCTCTGGTGTTACGGTTTCGGCTTGCCTCAGGTTCAGGGCTTATGATAATAATATATACAAGCCCTTATACAGTAATAATAACAGTGGTAAATAATGTTCTCATCCTTTATTTTTAAAATAGATTATAAACCAGAAAAATATGTGTTCCAATCCTAACATCAAGTATCCATCAATAAATGTAATCTCTCCTGATGAGTTAGTGATTGCAAATGTTGAATCCATAGGGAGTGGTGTCTTTGGCAATTGTTTTGTAAAGGCATTTACACGACTAGGCATAAATGTGGTTGAAAAGCAGCTCAATAATGGTGATATTGATCAGCTATATAACGAAGCAAAGCACATGCAAGTCTTTTCCCACCGATGTATACCACATCTATTTGGAATACAGGTAGAGAGAAAACCATTGTCACTGATCATGGAATTTGTGGAAGAGAACAACCAGTTGATGACAGTGTACAAGGTGTTGTATGATCCAACTGCAGAGAAAACAAAATTGGGCATGTCCATAGCAGACTGGCTTCGCATCTGTTATGATATTGCAGATGGGTTAGATCATATGCACCAGAAAGGCTATTTACACTGTGACCTAAAAACAAATAATGTTTTGATCTCCAAAAAGAAGGGCTATATTATTGACTTTGGTAAAGTACGTAAGATTACACACTCTTCTGCCAAAAAGTACAAAGAAGTCTTTAGCCATATTGCACCAGAGGTACTTCAAGGCTCTCCTGCGACCACAGCCAGTGATGTGTATTCTTTTGGAAAAATCTTGAAAGCCATTGCACAAGAGGTTAATAGTACTGTACTGCTTCAGTTAGGTAAAACAGCCATAAGCAGCGATTCCAGGAAAAGGCTAACTCTTCTAGGACTACTGATTGCTCTCAACGCAGAGAAAATTCACTGACACTGATTATTAAATTCATCAATCTAAACAAATATGAGCCAGAATCACAATTAATCCATTTACTACCAGTACTCTACCACTGATGAGTAAAATCGCCTGGCGTTGGACAGAGTAAATACTAAAGTAGGGCACTTTTGGGCACATTGCCTGCTAATGGGTCAAACAAAATATAAATCTGTACAGTATATTGCAAAAATATTAGTTGTGACTTTGGCTACCAGATGAAGCTTTACTGGACCACGTCCCCTTACTGTGGTGCAATACAGCATTTACTTATATAAAACAATATGTCTAGTTTAATTGTAATAAACTCAGTTATTTTGTAACAATATAAAGTTAACACACAGTAATGGTGGCAACTCTTGTGCTGTCAAGATGTTTCGTCTTTCGGCAGCAGGTTGTCAAGATATTGTGTCTTTCGGCAGCCAGTTAAAGCCTTATTGTGCTAAGTACTGTATACTACCAGTTCCATACCTAAAATTAACTGTTAAGTGCAGTCAGTTAAAACCTTAATGTGCTCTGTAATACCTTATTTACTAAAAATTAAGTAACAATATAAGTTTAATATTTAAATTCTAAACACACAGTAATGGTGGCAACTCTTGTGCTGTCAAGATGTTTCGTCTTTCGGCAGCAGGTTGTCAAGATATTGTGTCTTTCGGCAGCCAGTTAAAACCTTATTGTGCTATACAGTACATACTACCCTACAATTAACTGTTAATAAGTGCAATTTGTCCTTTGTAAGTCACCTAATCAGTCAAGCTTATATATTGTTCAGCATGCACAAAGTATAATTTAGAGTCAACTGGTAAAGTCGCAGCAAGAATAAACTGCAAATCCAAGAAGGAATACACTTATTATTCTTTTAAAAATTCTATGATTTAATAGCTAGTGCTAAATTGTAACTAGACAAGAATTATGCTTTCTAAAAATAAATGTTGAAAATTGCTTGGTGAAGACAGACCGTACAAGCGTTTGTCTTCACCATTGAGGTGTTTTTTTAATTTCTATTGAATTGAACATCACATTGATCACAATATTAGGGATGTGTTAACTCAACTCAACCATCTTATGTATCAATTGTATGCCTAGACAGAAAATGACTTGACTCAGGTTAGTAGGGTCACACTGATAATTTAACAAACTCACCCTATTATTAGGTAAAAGGTTAAAAGTATACTCAATTTTTTAAATATTTAATATCAAACTTTCTGTTCTTTTATAAATTATTTCCATTCATGATTCATGCATCATTGACCATTGACCCATGTGATGTGAACAATTTAACTATGTATTAACTGAGAGAACAATTTGGTGCAACATGTGATGATCAAGTTTGAAGTTGCTAAGTTGCTTTTATATTTTTTAATCAATATTTTAGTACAGTATTATATTTAATATCATCGTAAAATAACTTCACGGCTTACCTTCAGAATTCAGATATTAATTCAAAGTGTTGCCTGCGTAAAAATTGCTCTTGAGATGAACTAGGGTTTACCTTGCGAGTAAAATTTACACGTAAAATAGTAAAATACTGTCCAAACCCAGAGTACCAGATACAAAACTATAAAATACTGAATATAAAATGCTCGGCATTGCTCGCTCATCATAGCGCCATTTTCATTTTTGAATCGGTAAAAAATGTCGTATAAGTGGCGAGGCGGCGCGCAAATTCCTGAGTTAAGAAAACTGGGGTGAATATTTTTAGACCCAAGCATTAACACACTTGAGTCGTCAGAAATAGAGAACGATTCTGAGCTAGACATAACAATTTATCTCTGAAATATTGCGTTTTTGTCAGCCACTAAGCAAAAACGTAATAGATTTTATAGTATTTGACTAAAGACCGGTTCCTGAGTCCCAGTCCCCCGAGCAACACACCTTTTTTTCCAAAATGCCCTGTTTGAGGCCCGATATCTCAGAAATTATTGTTTTATATCAAAAAAGGATCTAGACCCCCTATACTAACTTTTTGTGCTCTTTCCAAATCCATAAAAATCCCATGAGTGATATAGGCACTTTAAGGATAAACGGATAACTCGACAAATGACTATTGTATTTGCGATAGATGAACCAGGCGGAAATCGTAATCTTAGGATAAATATTAATGCCCAGCATAAAACACGTAAAAGAGCCATAACAAAAATATAATTTAAAATATTTATTTGAAAGCTAACGTTTCGTCTTTAACTTAAGACATCTTCAGAGCAATGACATACAAAG